GGCGGCCGAGCAAAGTCCAGCCTCCGCTTCGAGCCCGACCTGCCCGGCCAGCACCTCACCTGGCCCTGTCCCCGCAGACCGAGGGCGTGCGGGTGTCCGTCAATGTCCTCTCGGACCACAAGGACCAGCCCGTGCTCTTCGTGGTGAGGCAGAAGGAGGCGGTGGTCTCCTTCCAGGTGCCGCTCATCCTCCGGGGCCTGTGAGTAGCGGCGGGGCGGGCAGGGGTTCCCCGTGCAGGAGCTCCCCGGGCTGGGATGCCCCGTGCAGGGCACACACGGCTCTCCCTGCCCAGGTACCAGCGGAAATACGCGTACCAGGAGGTGAGCCGCACGCTCTGCCAGCCGCAGACCAAGGCCGAGGTGGAGACCCAGCACTTCTACGTGGATGTCTCCACGCTCTCCCTCAACACTTCCTACCAGCTGCGGGTCACCCGCGTGGAGAACTTTGTGCTGCGGTGAGGGGAGCCCCGCGCCCTTGTCCCCTTCCCTGCCTGCTGCCTGTGGGGCTGCGGGGGCTGTGGGCTCCCCTCACCACCCATCACCTTTCCTGGGCTCTCTGCAGGACCAACGAAAGGTTCAGCTTCAATGCCACGGCCGCCCAGCCGCAGGTGAGGGCAGCTAGCACGGCGTGGCACGGGAGGGCTCTGCACCCAGGAGGAGAGCGTGCCCACCGTGGCAGCAACGGGTCCTTTCTCCCCACAGTACTTCAAGTACAAGTTCCCCGAGGAAGTGGATTCGGTGATCGTGAAGGTGACCTCAGCCATGGCCTTCCCCTGCTCCGTCATCTCCATCCAGGACATCCTGGTAGGTCTGGGCAGCAGCTCTCCTCTCTGTGGGACCCGTGGTGCCCGGCGGGGCTGACGGCCCCTCTGCCCCCGCAGTGCCCCGTCTACGACCTGGACAACAACGTGGCCTTCATCGGGATGTACCAGACCATGACGAAGAAGGCGGCCATCACGGTGCAGGTGGGCACAGGGCTGTGCCGTGGGGCTGTGCTGTGGGCTGAGCCATGGGGCTGTGCCGTGGGGCTGTGCCATTGGGCTGTGCCGTGGGGCTGTGCCATGGGGCTGTGCCATTGGGCTGTGCCGTGGGGCTGTGCTATGGGGCTGAGCCGCTCCCGCTCCCTGCCTGGTGCTGCCAAGCACCGCTGGCTACCAGAGCCCACAAAGGATATTCCTGGGATAACCTCTGGCATGGGAGATCCCCTGCTGGGCTGTGCTGACCCCCGTCTCTTGCTGCAGAAGAAGGATTTCCCCAGCCATAGCTTCTATGTGGTGGTGGTGGTGAAGACAGAGGACGAGGCGTGTGGGGGGGCTCTGCCCTATTATCCCCTCTCCAAGAATGCCTCTCCAGGTTTGTAGCGGGGCTGCCACCGTGGGCTGGGCGTGGGGACAGGGCAGAGAGCTGAGCCCTGTCCCTGCCTTCTTCCAGATGAGCCCGTGGATCAGCACAACCGGCAGAAGACACTGGAGGTGATGGTGTCACCTGCCATAACCTGTGAGTCTGGCAGGGGCTGGGGTGCTGGGGGTGCTGGGCTCTGTGGGGACCCACAGCAGGTCCCCCGAGGTGCCACCTCCACTGAGGGCCTGTCCTGGCTCTACAGCCGAGGCCTACGTGCGCAGTGTTCTCTTCTGCCTCGGCATCTTCCTCTCCTTCTACATCCTCACGCTGCTCATCGCCTGCTGGGAGAGCTGCCGGTGAGTGCCCGGGTGTCAGCACCTCTGGGTGCTGAGCCCATGGGCACAGTCCTGGTGGGGGCCCTGGGGCTGTGTCCCCTCGCCCCAGCAGGGGCACAGACGGGCTGACAGCTGCTTCCCTCGGCAGGCAGCACAAGAAGAAGGGGCTCCTGGCAGCCATGGATTCACCCAGCCTGGACACAGGTGAGGGCTGGAGGCAGCAGCCAGCACCATGGAGGGGTCTGCCTGGGGAATTCCTCTTTATTCTGCCCTCTTTGAGCCTGTGGCAAAGCCTCTGCCTCTGCAGGAGTATGCCCCTGAGTTCCTGGGGATAAATCCTAGTGTTGGGAGGACAGGGAGGTCCCAGACTTCTCTGCTGTGGGGCTGGCTGGGCTGTGCTGGGGCTTTGCATCTCACCAGGTCTATCTCTTTCTTCTCGTGGCTTTCCGGGGACTCCCAGCATCGCTCCTGGGTAGGTGCCAGCTCTGTCCTTGGCTCTGAGCTCGCCCAGTGCCAGGGCAGGGGTGGTGGGAGCTGCTTTGTGCCCAATGGCCGTGCAGCCCTGGGACAGGGGTGCCATTGAGGGTGACAGGGACCCTCCTGTCCCGCAGGTCACTCCCGCAGCATCCCCAGCTCCTTCCTGAACCACGGCCCCTACGACAGCTACGGCTACGGCTCCTTCGGTCAGTGCCACACACTGTCCCCCATCCCTCACCCCCTGCCCGTGGGCTGGGCCCACCCCCACCCTCTGCCTGTCCTTGTCCATGCAGGGAACGGTTCCTCCAGCAGCACCGAGGGCATCACAGACAGCCTGGGCTCAGCAGAAGTCTCCTACAGTTACGTGGGTGAGTTGTTGGGCCACTGGTGTGGCCGCAGCCCTGCGGAGCCTCCTGCCCAGTGGCATCCTGGCTCTGCCCCCTCCATCTCCGGGAAGGGTCCTGGGGCTGCCGGCCCCTCGGTGCAGCCCCCAGTGGGGTCTCCAGCAGTGACACACCTCAGGGAGCTCTGCTCCAGTAACTCTGGCTTTCCTTTGAAGGGCAGGAGCAGTTCAAGCGGCGCACGCCCTCCGCCCCGACGAGGCCGCTGAGCATTGCCATGGGTAGATGCTGGTACCGGGCAGGGTCGGGCCAATCAGGGCAAAATCTGCCCAGCCCCAGGCTGTGTCCAGGGCACAGAACCTACGCTCTCCTCCCTCAGAGCAAGAGCAGCACCTGAGAGATGCAGAGCAGGACATTGTCCACCTGGCTCTCGGTGTTCCCCAGCTGGCAGAGCCCCGGGGAACAGGCACGGGGCAATGCTTGCCCGCGTGGGCACAGCCAGCACCTGTCCCCAGGGCAGGGCTGTAGGGAGCTGAAGCCTGTCCCCAGTGTGAGTTGGCAGGGAGGCAGCCCAGTGGTTAATTGGGGGTGATTGGGGTTCTGCGGGGTGGGCACCGAGGCGGGCTGGCCCAGGGGCTCTGCTGACGGCCCCGGCTCGGCCGCAGGGGAGCGGTCACTGGAGAACGTGGCCAGCCGGCCGCGCCTGGACTCGCTCAGCTCTGTCGAGGAGGATGACTACGACACGCTGGCCGACATCGACTACGACAAGAATGTCATCCGCACCAAGGTGTGTGTGTCCCCCAGCCCTGCCAGCTGCTCCCTGCCGGCCAGGCAAGGCCCTGACCCCCCTCTCCTTCCAGCAATACCTGTGCGTGGCCGACCTGGCGCGCAAGGACAAGCGGGTGCTGCGGAAGAAGTACCAGATTTATTTCTGGTGAGTGGGAGGCAGTGGGGAGGGGGCACCAAGCAGTGTCCCAGCCTGGGGCGCACAGCAGGGACCCCCTGACAGCCCCACCCTCTCCCAGGAACATCGCCACCATCGCTGTCTTCTACGCGCTCCCCGTCATCCAGCTCGTCATCACCTACCAGACGGTGAGTGTGGCCAGGGCAGCAGTGAGGGGCTCCTGGGAGCTCCGGGGTCTGTAGTCCCAAAATGTGCTCCCCAGCATGATGGGGACATCCCTGGGAGCCCCCTGTGTCCCTCACCCTGCTCGTGCCCACAGGTGGTGAACGTCACTGGCAACCAGGACATCTGCTACTACAACTTCTTGTGCGCCCACCCACTGGGGAACCTCAGGTGTGTTGGGGGGACGGTGGAGGGTGCCCGGGGGTCCCCTGTGCTCAGGGCTGGGCTGCAGCCGGACCCTGGGGAGGGAGGGGGTTCCACAGCACCCACAGTGGGACTGGCCCCTTGCAGCGCCTTCAACAACATCCTCAGCAACCTGGGCTACGTCCTGCTGGGTCTGCTCTTCCTGCTGATCATCCTGCAGCGCGAGATCAACTACAACCGCGCGCTCCTGCGCAACGACACCCACGCCCTGGTGAGGGACGGGGCTGTCTGAGGGGGCTCGGGCTGCCTGGCAGGGCTCAGCCCCCCGGGATCCCCCACTTCCCCTCCCTCCCTCTCCTCTGCCCCTCAGGAGTGTGGCATCCCCAAGCACTTTGGGCTCTTCTATGCCATGGGCACCGCCCTCATGATGGAGGGGCTGCTCAGCGCCTGCTACCACGTCTGCCCCAACTACACCAACTTCCAGTTCGGTGAGTGCCCCCCCGGGCTCCCCCCATCTGCACTGGGGCCACCCACGGCCCTCTCACCGCTGTGCCCCCCCAGACACCTCCTTCATGTACATGATCGCGGGGCTCTGCATGCTCAAGCTCTACCAGAAGCGTCACCCGGACATCAACGCCAGCGCCTACAGCGCCTACGCCTGCCTGGCCCTCGTCATCTTCTTCTCCGTGGTGGGCGTGGTGAGTACGGGGGGCACCGAGGGAGGGGGGCTGGTGGTCCCCACAGCCCACTGCCTGACCCCACTCTCCCTGCAGGTGTTTGGGAAGGGGAACACAGCTTTCTGGATCGTCTTCTCCGTCATCCACATCGTGGCCACGCTGCTGCTGAGCACCCAGCTGTACTACATGGGGCGCTGGAAGCTGGGTGAGGGGGGACTCCGTGAGCGAGGTGGGTGGGGACAATGTGGTGGCCCCGTGGTGTCACCTCCCCTCTCCCCACAGACTCGGGCATCCTGCGCAGGATCCTGCACGTGCTGTACACGGACTGCGTCCGGCAGTGCAGCGGGCCCATGTATGTGGTGAGTGCTGGCACCGGGGTCCCTGGCGCTGTGGAGACCCTCCCTGGCAGCCCCCCAGAGCAGCTGCCTGCAGCCCCTCACGGCCCCCTCCTCTTCTGCAGGACCGAATGGTGCTCCTGGTCATGGGGAACATCATCAACTGGTCGCTGTGAGTGCAGAGCTGGGCACGTGCCAGACCCCACCCTGCTTCTCCCCAGCCCTGCTGCTGCCCCCACCCCGCTCCTGCGGCACTGCTGTCCCTCCATGGGGCTGGGCCGAGGACAGGCAGCTCATGGCAGCTGTCAGCCCATCACAACAGGTCCCTCTGCAGCTGTGGCATCCCGGAGTCCCCACATGCTGCCTGATCTCCTGGGGGCTGCAGACATGCTTTGGGGACAGCGGGCATGGCAGGGGGACCCCCAGGCTGACCCCACTGCCTGTCCCTGCCTCCCCAGCGCTGCCTACGGCCTCATTGTCCGCCCCAATGATTTTGCTTCCTACCTGCTGGCCATCGGCATCTGCAACCTCCTCCTCTACTTCGCCTTCTACATTATCATGAAGGTGGGAGTCGAGCCCTGGGCCCCCGTGAGCCCAGCAGGGAGGGCAGGGCAGGGCAGGGATGGGCACTGCTGCCAGCTCCTGCCCACAGAGTGACCCCAGCCTCTCCCACAGCTCCGCAGTGGCGAGCGCATCAAGCTCATCCCTCTGCTCTGCATCATCAGCACCTCCGTGGTCTGGGGCTTCGCCCTCTTCTTCTTCTTCCAGGGGCTCAGCACCTGGCAGGTGAGCAGGAGGGTGGCACAGGCAGCGGGGTGGGCAGGGTAGCCATGGGCAGGCAGTGACACTGGCCCTGTGCCTGGCAGAAAACGCCAGCTGAATCCCGGGAGCACAACCGTGACTGCATCCTGCTCGACTTCTTCGATGACCACGACATCTGGCATTTCCTCTCCTCCATCGCCATGTTCGGCTCCTTCCTGGTAGGGGCTGGTTCCACCGGCACAGCAGCCGCTGTCCTCGGTTCCCCAGCCCCCAATGCTCTGTTCCCCTCACTCCCCTCGCTCCACAGGTGCTGCTGACGCTGGATGATGACCTGGACTGTGTCCAGCGGGACAAGATCTACGTCTTCTAGGAGCCTGCAGCCACCCGCTGCCCTGGGACTGTGCCAAACAAGCCGGCTGCAGCCCCGGGAGGGGGACCCACCCCTGGGGAGGGATGTCTGCGCTGCAGTTCCTGCCAGCCACTCCGTCCCCCTCCCCACACAGCCCGGGGGTCCTGGTTTGCCTCCTCCCCATCAGCCGGGTCCTTCCAGGCACTTTGTGCCCATCCCTGGGCCCGTCACAGCCAAAAATGGGGCTGGGGGGCCAGCGGAGCATCCGTCCTCGGTGGCAAGTGACACTGGAAAAGGTGCTGCTGCTGCTCCGTGTCCGTGTGCCCCTGGGCACAGTGGGGGGATTGGGGCGAGCGCCGTGCCAGCAGCCCCGTGGCCCCCCGAGCACGTGGGTGTGGGTCTCTCTTCAGTGCCTGAGTCGAGTGGGTGGGAGGTGGGGGGTGTGTGGGGCCAGCACGGTG